ATCCCGCCTCAAAGACAGTCGGTGCGCTGGAAGCCAAGTGCAGTCCCAGCCAGGCCTGGACGCCGGTCCCTCCCATGCAGGCCTTGTGTCCGGCTCCGGGGCTCCCCGAAGACTGGAGGGCTCCAGTGAAACTCGAACCCGTAGAGATGGCAGAGGCTCGGCTGCCATCCGCCGACTTTGCGTCTTCCGCCACCGGTCAGTAGCCTCGAGGCGTGTCGCTCTCGACGATGGCCACTCTGCACACCCAGCACACTTTGGCCGCCATTTTCTCGTCCTCCTCTTCCTTTTCCCGCTCTTCTTCCTCTTCGTCTACTCCGTCCATGCTCTCTCTTGGCCACCTCGCACTGCGCACTGCGTCGGACAGAACTTTACTCAAGTCGAGGCCGACTCAAATGTCCGACTCGGCCCTGGCCCGAGTCCCGCCTCCATCTACCGCTACCAGGCGAGCATGAGCTTCAAGCCTATCTAGCTTCTTACAATTTTGTGGACATGTCCAACTTCATATAAAACTGAATGAATTTGTGTGCAACGCCTGTAAAGTCGTCGCCTGAAATAGTTGCCTCATAACATGTGAAGGAATTAAACTGAGCTGATAAGAAGTTGCTTCTTTCCAGGCGCATAAATCGCTATTCATTGTTCGGATCGTCTGTCTGAGGGTAGCAGAACGCGCCTCGTTGTCCATACCTCTCTGCCATTCCACGCTGACATTTTGTCTCTCCTGTACCACACAATGTCAGACCGTGATGCCATGCAGAGGCAAGGACCTCTGAGGCTCATAAAGAAGCAGACTCATCGACTTCAATATCACCTTTTGATATTTCACACCTCCACATTTTGCAACAGGCTTGCTCCTCCGCAAGCGTCTGAAAGAGTGCCAGATTTCATTATAGGCTGGAGTGATAAAAGTCATAAATTTGATGTGATCTCACCTTCTTTCATGCCTCCTTCTTACTCTCAGCCTTGGGGTTGCGATGTGTCTATGCCTCTTGGCGATAATGGGCTTGTTGAAAACATGTGAGGGATGGCAACTGTTGACTGATGAACCAGTCCAGGAGATAGCAGTGATCTTACTTTTGGGCAGGCAGTCAAGAAAGCTTAACTTTCCTGAAATGTAAAGAGTGTTTGTCTTCTGTGGCTTACGATGATTGTTAATGATTGTGTTGCCGGTGGTGATCGCCGGATTTTTGGCAGCTCCATTTTAGTGTGCTGTTACTGCGCTGAACTGTATGCCCTGGAGGAGCCAGTTTTAACAGAAATGACGAGATCATTGT